AGTAGGTGGCGCTATGAGTTATTGAATTTTTCTCAATTGAAGTATGTTCAGGCTTGAAATAGCATCATGTATAAGAAGTTTTGTGCGGATTGGATAATGTACCTTGGAGTTATAACAACTTTTTTCATAAACAATGAGGTAAAATGGCCGCCACGCCACGTCAAGTTTCTTCGATGAAAGCGCACGATTTTGATAACTTTTAATCACAAAGGTCTTAAGAGCATCCTGACAAAAGTAGAAGTTGATCGCATAAATTCTCTAGGAGGAGTTCATTAAAGTAGGAAGGCTGAAATCTGCAAAAAGTGACAAAAAGCACAACTTCGCGGGTTTACTGTAGCGCCCCCTAGTAGTTGAATGCAAAACAATTCTCAGGGTATGTTACAGGATGCAACGTGCACATATGCTGCAAATTTGGTAATTGTAGGACCAACGGTTGAGAAGTTGTGTGTATTGATATTAAGACACGCCCCTAAGAAGTTTATTGGTCCATATCTTGTAAACGCTAAGAGCTATCAAAAAGCTTTTGATAACATTTGATGAACTAGATCCAATAATGATCCACTACAGATTTGGTAGCAATCGAACCCAGCATGTAGGAACAGCTAGCAAAAATGTGTTTTTCACTAAATTCAATATGGCGGAAAATCTAAGTAGGTGGAGCTTAGCGGTCTGAGAGGCTTTTTTTTTTTTAGATCTAGCGGATTGGGACATGTCTGTTGAATTTCAAGTAAATTGGACATACTGGCCGAGGGGCGTCGCCGGTCCGATTTGTAGGAGGCGCTAGAGAGCCATTTCTTTTACACACAAATATGCAAATTAGGGCAGCAGAGTTTCTGCACCAGAGCTGATAGGGGTGCAAAATTGGTGAGTTTTCATGCATGGCAAAGTACCCCTACAAGCTCCATCCCCAGAAAAATAAAAAAGAAGAATAATGACCCCTACAATATCAATAGGGCCTTCGCAGGCCCGACGTTGTCGGTTGCTCGGGCCCTAATAAGAGCTGGATTAAAGAATAACTGACATAACAGAAAGCTTATCAAAAATGTGCATCTTAAAATAAAGTAATTCATTTTAGAAAAATTAATTTCACTGAATTGCCCTGCAGCTATAAATTCAGTTCATTCAGGTGTGAAGTGATGTCAATCACAAAAGCCACGATATTATATTTCTCTCATCTTCTAACAAGATAAATCAGTGTGCATGGACTTTATCTGTGGTTATTAAACCACTTGTTTCAGCTCTATTCTCTCTGTTAACATCATTGTTGGGCAGTGAATTCATGCGTTAGGATTCTGATCATTTTGGGCTCTTAGGTTTATTTTCTGTGTCTTCATTCAGATGTGAGTGGGTACGTTTGTTCAAAGGAGTTGTGCGTTGCCTCGTAGTGTCACTTCATTTACCGCTTTTAATAATCGTCAGGGTCTCTGAACATATGAGACACTGGTTATAAACTGTCCGTGTGAACAATTAACCTATAAGAGTCTCATTGTTGGTTAAAGACTCTGGTCTCTCTGACCACTTTTCTCTCTTTGGAGAACGTTATGTGAACTTCTCTGACTCACATATTATTCTCCTGCTCTTCCTTCTCTTTCCTCGTCTCTCCCAGTGTGTGTACATCTCACTCGATTCAGGAAACGTGTCAGAATACTCATATTTGATTGGCTGAGCTGCATCACGTGATGTGATTTACAACGCATTGGTCGGTGCGTTTCCTGCACCGCTGAACAAGTACCGTAAAGGCTGAAAAAGCTGCGCCGGTTAAAATAGAAGCGCCCTGTCAAAATAAAATCAATTTTAGGTCCTGGGTCCGGATACAACGGCGTCTGGGTCCGGATCCGGACCACGGTCCGCCAATTGGCGACCCCTGGTTTAGTGGGTTCCATGAGTCAAAAACTCATGGAACTTTGTACATGTGTCACAGGTCATTGGAAGAAATATTTTATATGACTTTTTTTATTGGCCGTTTTAAATTGCCTCTATAGCGCCCCCTACAATATTTCAAAAGAGCAGCCCTAGCGCTACGTTTTGGCTACATGTACGAAACTTAGTAGACACATGTATCCCATGGAGACTTAAATATAAGTATCTTGGGATCATGCTCTAAACCCTACCGGAAGTCGTCCAGTTTCATTTATGTGTCATTTTTCAATAGATTTTGGCCTATTTCTAGTCGCTATACTTTAACGAACTCCTCCTAAGGACTTCATCAGATCCACTTTAAATTTTGTCAGTACAATGACAACACCATTGTGATTAAAAGTTATCAAAAGCTTTACGTTTGACGGAATCGTTTAGCCGTAGCGGGCGGCTACTTTACATGATTCCCCATGAAAAAAGCTGATGTAACTCAGCTGGACTTGTTCCAAACGGTCTCAAACTTCTCATGCTTGATAACACTCATGGCCTGAGGATGTCTACAAGCTTATTTTCAATAATACTCACAGCGCCATCTGCTGGTGAAAGGAAATCTGCGTTTTGTGATAAACACCTCCGATTTACATGACTTTTACACAATGTGGTTTACACTTGACACAGAGCTACATAATGCATGTTTGCACGCGTTCTGTAGTGCCAGGCAGCGGATACAGGAAGCGTCGGACTATTTGCAAAGCATCATTTCCAGCATCAGGCGGTCCACACGGGATTAAATCCGTCTCGCTCGCGAACGCGCCGTCCGACGGTCGCGGACGTTCTCTGCCACGCAGGCCGGAGTCCCGCCGCCACCCCTGACACGCTGGAAGATGCGAGCGCCCGTTCATCGCTGCTCGCAGCTTTAATTTGAAATAAAAACTGTTAGAATTATTGTAAATAATAAAACAATATTTTATGATAATGAACTAAAAGTTACGTTATTTGAGACGGTTAAGTTATAAAATGTTTAATCTCATTGTTATGGCAAAGTTCAACAATGAATTCAAAAGTTGTGTATTGTGCACTTTTATTTTAAAGTACTGCTATATGAACAAAAGATCAATAACATTTGGTTTGTAAACACTTTAAACACATCAGGTTCTCGTTAGCAGCAGTATTCCCTTTACACAGTAGCAGTTATAACACAGTTATAATGATTCTGATCATAGATATTCAGCCGATGTTTACAACTTTATCTTCATGTGTAAGAGATGCAATTTAAATATACTTCTTGAAAACTGCAAACCTATCTACGTCATGTTTTTTTCACATATGCAACGCTGATTACCGTAATACAGTTGTGTGAAAAAGTGTTTGCCCCCTTCCTGATTTCTTTGCATGTTTGTCACACTTAAATGTTTCAGATCATCAAACAAATTTAAATATTAGACAAAGATAACACAAGTAAACACAAAATGCAGTTTTTAAATGAAGGTTTTTATTATTAAGGGAAAAGAAAAATCCAAACCTACATAGCCCTGTGTGAAAAAGTGATTGCCCCCCCCCTGTTAAAACATAAATTAACTGTGGTTTATCACATCTTTGGAAAGCTGAGTTCAATTTCTCTAGCCACACCCAAGCCTGATTACTGCCACACCTGTTCTCGATCAAGAAATCACTTAAATAGGACCTGCCTGACAAAGTGAGGTAGACCAAAAGATCCTCAAAAGGTAGACATCATGCTGCGATCCAAAGAAATTCAGGAACAAATGAGAAACAAAGTAATTGAGATCTATCAGTCTGGAAAAGGTTACAAAGCCATTTCTAAAGCTTTGGGACTCCAGCGAACCACAGTGAGAGCCATTATCCACAAATGGCGAAAACATGGAACAGTGGTGAACCTTCCCAGGAGTGGCCGGCCGACCAAAATTACCCCAAGAGCGCAGCGACGACTCATCCAAGAGGTCACAAAAGACCCCAGAACAACATCCAAAGAACTGCAGGCCTCACTTGCCTCAATTAAGGTCAGTGTTCATGACTCCACCATAAGAAAGAGACTGGGCAAAAATGGCGTGCATGGCAGAGTTCCAAGACGAAAACCACTGCTGAGCAAAAAGAACATAAAGGCTCGTCTCAGTTTTGCCAGAAAACATCTTGATGATCCCCAAGACTTTTGGGAAAATACTCTGTGGACTGACGAGACAAAAGTTTAACTTTTTGGAAGGTGTATGTCCCATTACATCTGGCGTGAAAGTAACTCGGCATTTCAGAAAAGGAACATCATACCAACAGTAAAATATGGTGGTGGTTCTGTGATGTCTGGGGCTGTTTTGCTGCTTCAGGACCTGGAAGACTTGCTGTGGTAAATGTAAAAGACTCATTGCCAGTTATCGCAAACGCTTGATTGCAGTTGTTGCTGCTAAGGGTGGCCCAACCAGTTATTAGGTTTAGGGGGCAATCACTTTTTCACACAGGGCCATGTAGGTTTGGATTTTTCCCCCCCCTTAATAATAAAAACCTTCATTTAAAAACTGCATTTTGTGTTTACTTGTGTTATCTTTGTCTAATATTTAAATTTGTTTGATGATCTGAAACATTTAAGTGTGACAAACATGCAAAAGAAATCAGGAAGGGGGCAAACACTTTTTCACACAACTGTATGTGTGGTATTTGTTATAAATGTACGTTGGTACAGAGGGCGATAAGAAGCTGTACATGGAGGGACTTAGGACCCAGGGGAATGTAGGTGAAGGGAACAGGAAGAGACGCCACAAACAGCTGTTCACCGCTCGCTGCCCGGTTCTTGTTAAAAATGTCTTAATAATGAAAAAAACACTGCGTTAACGCGCGATAGAATAATTGTCGGCGTTAATTAACGAATGCGTTAACGCGATAACTTGCCCAGCACTAATTATATTTACTGTAACTATAATAGTTGATATAGATTATGTATCCGTGTATGAGGGCTGATCAACAACACTGTAAATTACAGATCAATTATCTTAAAACAGATTTATGGATCTCTTGTGTTTATTATTGATCAGTGCATGTGACTATTTATGTCTTATTTAACATATAACAAAGCAGATCTTGTTGTGTTTAGTTTGGCCCCTCTGGGCCTCCGTACTTGTGTGTTACAGTCTCAGTACCGTAGGTCGTGATCATCTTGCTGGTTTCTCTGAACAACAGGATGCCGTTCGGCGACGACACGTCGAACTGAAGCCGTTGTGACCTACGAGGAAGAAAACAGGTTAGTGATCGATAATCAATGATCAGTCTGAGGGGGGAGGAGACGAGGACGGTTCTACCTGTTGTGAACCAGCTCGGCCATGAGCTTGAGGACTGGAGTGGTGCATGCTGGGTCGTGGTACCAGAGCTCGATGGCTCTCTGCAGGATGGGCATGTAGGCCGGATATCTGCAGAGCTGCTAAGGAACCTTCTGAATAATACACAAGCTATATATATATTAAATATATGTATGCTGTGATGTCAGCAGCTCTCAGGTCACATGACCGCCGTGAGGATACATCCAGTCAAACAGCATCATGAAACTCGTCTTGGCGTTGAAGGCGAACGCGATGCCTCGCAGGTCTCGGACCAAACCCACCAGAGTCCTCTACAGGAAACCAGTGAAGAAGAAGGAGGAAACCTTCAGAATAAAAGCCTCTCTGGAGGTAAAGACGGCTCCAAAAACATGTTCACAGTATTGATCCCATACAGAATGATCAATAACCACTTTATGCATTAGGTCTCTGTTTTGGTACCAGAACGGTGAACTAAGAGCAGGCAGAGTGTGTCTGTCTCTGTCTGTGTGTGTGTGTGTCACCTTGGCTTCCTGCTCGTTGAAGGTGTTCGTACTCAACATCTGAGCCACAGTTTCAAACGCAGCCGTTAGAGGAAGCATGAACTGTTCAAACTGGTCCTCGTCTTCTCCTACACACACACACAATGGAAGGAATAAAAATGACGTCCGTCTGTCTGTCTGTCTGTCTGTCTGTCTGTCTGTCTGTCTGTCTGTCTGTCTGTCTGT